GACTTTTTGAAAAACATGGATCTTTTCGGTGTGTTTTTTTTCTAAAGTGCTGCTTCCAGAGGTGGATCTACTTATCTTCTGTGGGTGTGCTGTTGTCAGCCTTCCTGAGTTCTGTATTTGTTCCTTCTTTGGTGAAGTGAATGTTTCTTTCCTGTACTTTAAAACCAACTTTAAAAGTGGAAGTTTATGCTGAGATGTACTTGTAACCTTCGGGAGCAAGCTTGGCCGCAGACTAAGAACAGACCCTGGCTTGGAGGCATGACATAAAGGAATAGAGTTAAGTGGAAAAGCTTCAAGATATTGAAGCTTTTGACTTTTTGCACGGGAGTTGCAATAGAACTTTTGTTGAATCCTGTTCAATGACAATAAATGCTATTCTATTCTATATTGTGCCATTTCTTTCTTTCTATTTATAACCACTGTGCACATAACCACAGCCAAGACAAACCACTCAGGCACATAACATTTATATAAGGGAAGGCTGAAAAATGGCAGCTAAGACAGAGATTCGTTAACATTCGTTTGAACGTTGACATCAAGACATTTGGGTGTTGTGATGGTAGCCTGACAACGACTCAGATCATTAGATGCACCGTCAGAGGCGGCTCAAAAAATAACTTAATAAAAATGATCATATATATTTTTTTAAATTCTAATTTCCAAACTAAAATATATTTTCTTATGCCAAAAGGCAATATGATTTTTTAAATTCTCTTTTCACCCAAATGTAAAGATTACTAGCCTTTCTTGTATTGTGTCACACTACATGGTAGGTAAAGGGCTGCAGGTGTAAATGTCTGTGAATAAAATTCTGCATTTTCATAGTGACATTTTCTGTTGCCGTGTCGGATAAATTTTTCTGCCAAGCGTTAACAAGCCAATCCTATGTTCACAAGCTTTAGCAGCACTAAATGTACACAATGATTAGGTCATTTATCATCACTTAAATTTAATTTTATGAGCTGTACTCAACTGCTGCTAAGTTTATCTCCTGTTTTCATTATATGAATCATTAACTCATAAATTGGTGCTGCAACAGGATCCTGTAGGCTTTATTAGGCCTTCCTGTGCTTTTAGCGCCGCGAACAACAATAACCTGGAGTAATTCTGGTTGACACGAGGCAAAAAGGTAATCAATGGGAGCGGAAATGCTAAGTAAGATTGCTGCAGCTGTTGCTGTGAATGAACCTCTCCATCACCAGCCGAATGTCACTGCCTGTCCCAGAAACCGAACGTGTTACTTGAGCTGAGGCAGGGCCCTCCTGAAAAGGTCATGCTGATGTTAATTTGGCAATGTTGCAGCGGAGCAGTCACCGAAAATCTGCTCACGCTTCAGCAGGAGTCGGCGTTATTCCGACGAGAGGAGCTGACAGTCGTGGTAAAGACCTGAAAGTGACCTTTTATTAAAGATACAAGAGGCAAACGGACGGTGAAAACACCTCGAGGTCGTTTAGCAACATCGCACGGAACCGTGGAAGCAAATTTGGTATCAATTTTAATTGGTTACTTTTCTGTGGGTAAAGACTGTTTTGCTTTGACATTACTAATGAGTTTCCGTGCCTGGAGCATCACTGTGACAATTAGGCAATCTCTTTAACATTTAATTAGTGGGAATAGAATTTATTTATTCATTCATTTTTAAAAAAACAACAACAAAAAAAACAAGATAATTAGACAGCCAAGTTATTTGTTGATAAAAATAGGTGGCTGCTTTTCATACTTTTAAGATGTAGGTCATTTATCACGTTTTTACTTTTTTGTTGCACGTTTTTACTTTTTTGTTGCACGTTTTACCCTCATTAAAATATTAATATCAAACAAAGATTTAAAAGTTTTTTTTTTCATTTATTAATGTAAAAAATAACTATCTGAACCAACCTGGTAAAATGTGAAAAACTAATCACTCCCTAAATTACAGCCTTTAAGAGTTTGTGTTAAGCAATGGCACTTTCACATGTGTTAGCCTGTGTCTAAGGTTGCTTTAATTGTGTCAGAGGAATATGTGCCAAATTATCTCACTTGGTCTTATGGTTGGACTTTAACTAGGCCACTCAAAAACTTTCATTTAGTTTTTTTTATATTATTTCAGTGGTGCCCAAGTGTGCAGCAGTTGGGTAACGCAAACCCATTTTCAAAAAGAAATGTGTTTTAAATAACCGTCGGTAATTTGGCAAATGGTAATTTGAATAAGTCAGAGGTTGTTTTATAACCTCACCTTGCCCACCCCGACCTTCCTGTGCACAGCACATGCTGGAAATAAAAAGAAGAGGTTCATCCAGCCTAATGACCAGAGGCTAAAAGAAATGTTACTGTGAGTTATTAAATATTTATACACCAGGAGAACAGAATATCACAGTATGCTAATGCATAAGTCCTGAAAATTTTGATGGAACTTGAAAAATGCTTAAACTGCATTTCTTTTTCATGAACTGTTAGCTGTACCAATACTTGAAGCACAAGATGTTTTATTCAAATTAAGTTTTTCAGCCACCAGTTTTATTTCTTAAAGAATGTATTTTATGATAAGAAAAGGGATTCTATAGTTTTACTTTTTAAAAGGTATTTGTTATAATAATATGTAATAACTTGAATCTCGATGCCCTGAGGTTCCCACATTTTGTTGTGCAATAACACTGAGGTATTAGTTCCCACTTTCCACTTACTTCACAAAGTCAAGAAGTCCTTTGCTGACATTAAATTAATTATGGCTGATTTAAGTTATCCCTGAGCAGTCATAACAATAAACAAACACAGCTGTTACTTGCTCTGAAACTACTTCAAGATTTCACTTCACTCCATTTCCTTACCTGAAAACACCTGGCCCTGTTCTGCTGGGGATTTAAAGACTTACCTCTTACCAATGTAAAACGTCAAAGTCTCTCCGGTGACAAAATGGTATAATCACTCATTTTCAAAAATGACAACATGCATTTGAAGCTAACGAGGGAATGTATGCGAAGGAAGCTTCAACCAGGCTGTTGTCATCGAAGCATTAATACAACATGACTGGCCGTGTAACCAATGTAGCAGGCTTCGTTTTCATGACAAGATTTTGAGCCAACCAAATCAGTTTCTGAGGGTGAGAAAACACGAACCCAAACCCTCACAAACAGACAGGCTATACATAAGAAAAGTAGAGAGCCAGATTTATATCTTTCAATCTCTTAGCATTTCGGATATTTTGGATAGACGCTACATCTAAAACAACTCAAGTGTAAATTGTCATGTCAGATTGCAGTTTTCCAGAGTGTTCTACTTTTAAGACTTTATAAGATACTACAAATTACAGGGTGAAAATAGCAATATAAATAATTTTTTATCATTATACATTATATTTCCGTGATGTGACCACACGTCACTGAGTACGGGGTACCTGATCCTTTTATATAGATCGACAGGTCCCAGTATGACTGGTGTCAGAGACGTTGGCCTCCACTCAGAACTCGTTTTCCGTGAGAGTTGGACTCTTTGTTCCATACCTTTATGGAGTAAATTTCTGGGCTCAGTGAAGGTTTTGAGTGGAGCCATTTTGCCTGAGCCCTCAGGACCAGGTGTCTGTTTTTTGCAAGCAAAGAGGTTCTGTTGGCTTCATCAGTCCGTGACCTCCAGCTTTCACTGGAAAAGCCGAGTGCGCAGCGACCAGAATAAAAATCACCAATTCAAAATCCCAGACCATGGTCTTGAACCGGAAAAGGATGGAGTGCTTTCTCCAGGTATGAAGGCCTGCCTCAAGTGGAGGAGTTTTAAGTATCTCAGGGTCTTGTTCTCAAATGAGGGAAAAATGTAGCAGAGATTGATGGAGGGATCAATCTCAGAGCACTGGCATTGCGTGCTCTGTAATGCCCGTGCTGTACTAGTTTGAAGTGGTGAAGAGAGAGCTGAGCTGAAAGGCAAAGCTCCTGATTTACCAGTCAATCTATGTTCCTGCCCTCATCTGTGATCACAAGCTCTGGGGGCTGACTGAAACAGTGACATACAAGTGGCTGGAATGTGTTTCCTCCACAGGGTGTCAATCAGCTTTTGTGTTTGCTTATGATGAAATCTTGTTTTACTCGGGCATTCCTCGTCTTGATTTGCATTTGCACTTTATGCTTGCTTTTGACATACATTCAAATTAGGTCATTTTTAAGTGTACTTTAGAAAACAAATCTAAACCCATTAAGCCTAAATTTGAGGGCTGCCAGATCTAAAGAGGGGAGTGGTGTCGGTTTCTGTTTCTGTCTCTTCACTGGCTTTTAACTGTCTCCTCTTTGGAAGGAAGGCAGTGAGCTCCTCAGCGGGGAGCAGAAACCAGGCACCGGTGAATCCTCATCAGCCTTCACTCAGTATGCGATTGAAGCACCATTTTCCTCTGCAGATCCTAAACGAGGCAGGTTTGTTGCTTTGTGCCAAGTTGGGGAGCAGCCCGGTGTGGTCGGTAACCCAGCTGACGACCCGTCAGCCCTCCAAATGGAAAAGCTCCTGGGATGTGGAACCAAAACGCTGTCAGCTGGTGTGGGCGTCACAGCATAGATGGAACTAAAGGATTTGCCCACATCGCTATGGAGACAGCAGTATGCAGCAGCTTAAAGAAGGATGGATAAATCCCATGCCCCCTTTCCTTCGTTCTTGTTTTTAAGCTATTTTAAAACCCTCACACTGATGTGTTCACCTCGGGAGTTATTCACTCTTTCTTCTGCTACTCAGACACATAGAACAGATGGAGGCAAAATGTAAAATCACGTCATCTACACCCCATTTTATCTACCAAAAAGTAATTGAAACGATTGAATAACCAAATCTATAACACTCTGATAACCTCTGGATAGTTTGATGCGCAATTTGAAAAGCAACTTGATGAGATGTTTGTACAAATATATAAAAAAAGATAAAAATAGGTATCTACCAAGGTTGTCTTGTACTGATTCACTGATTATATATTTTTCTGTCTTGCTACTTTTTTTTAAAGGAAGTTGTAGCTTAATTTGGATTTAATGTCATAAACAATAAAATGACCTCACCGCTGTCACTGTTGTCGTCTACCAAAATGATCTCCTTCAGCAGGTGTGCCGGCGTGTGGTTGACCACGCTGTGGACGGAGCGGAGGATCACCGACAGCGCCTCGTTCACGAAGATGAACACGACGGAGATCTGAGGAAGGTCCTCCGGGTACGTCAACTGCTTACACCTGATGGAACAAAAAAAAACATGTAAAAGTTGATTTTTAGCCTCTGCCAAAAATATTTTTCTAATTTTAGAATCGTAACATCTGGTGAAATTAACAACAATAACATAGTTTCTGCTTTTCCTGTGTTTGATCACATCAGATCGTCTATGAGAAGAAAAAGACAAAATTTCAATGTTAGCTAATGTTTTGTTAGCTAAAACAATGAAAACAAATAAGCTTGTCCATTTTCTTTTGTCAGATTGTTATAGTCACTGACACATTTATTTCTGTGGTGCACATTATTTTGACTTTCTCCCCAAAATAAAATGTATGCTTCTGAAACAATGTCTCAGTATGAGAGCAAGTAAAAACCAAAAGAAAATGGTTTACTTTGAAGAATTAGTTCTATCTGATTAAATTAAGGCTACTCTGCAGCACCTGCAGGATATGTCTCACAATTAATTCAAGTATTTTGTTTGCTTTGTTTTTACATTTTATATCTAGACAGTATTGTAAATAAGCAAAAGAGTACATAGTCGCAACATATTTTGCTCTTTTATAGGTTTCAGGTTTTCCCTTATGTCAACCTCTGACCCTTATACTGCATCTTTTCTCATACACTGATAGAAACTGAGATTTGGAGGCATTTCAAAGTACTTAAAATCTGTCTCCTTTTTATTCAGTGGTAGGAATACACCAAGAAGCGCTGTGAACTTTGGCCTAATATTTCATCTGCTAGCATTGCCTAACTCAGAGGTTTGTGGATTTAATTCTCAAAGCTCCAAATCTGATTTCTAGATAAGATCAAAGAGTCAAAACAACTGCTGGATGTTTTTTTTTCTCCCTCCGGATAAATAAAATCAACATCTACAAACTGCATTTGAACATATTTTTGAAGACAGTTTTGATTGAAGAGCTGAAATATTTAAGTATAAAGATGCATGTAGACAATTGAAAAAAAAAAAAAAAACGTTTTCTGGTCAAATTCACAAATTACAAAGTTACACAAAATGTCGAGTATTTCAGTGGATTAAATGTTTTAATGTGACCAATTCATTATTCCATGTGTATTTTTGAGACAACAGAAATCATAAGGCTTCAACAAACAAAAAAAGTGTTAACAGGATACATATTGACGTGGCATTATGTCTGAATCTGCATCTGTGTTTTGAGAATTGCCATTCTTTACAACAGTACCTGTAGATTTAGAAAGTGCACAGGAAAGGCTTACAGACTCCAAAAAATATAACCCAACCCAGATTAACCAGATCCTTCTGTCCAATTTAAGGCCAAATATGATTACGATGCAGGATCAAATTTCTCATCTCTGTATGGTAATTTCTTTCCCTCTCCATTTTGGCCTTTCATCCTCTATTTAATCTCACATAATAACTCTAAAATAACCTCTTTTTTTCAAAATGTGTTATTAAAACCCAAGTTCAACTTACCACTTAACCAACACTAAATAAGACAAACTGCACACTGATATCAGGTCCACCAAACCGCTGCAGTCTTTTTAAGAGATGCTTGGGGGATTTTTTTCTCACATATTTGCACCAGCTTTGAAGTAAAATACAACACAGCTGACCAGACCACGGCACTTAGCAGCTGCTGAAGCAATTGGCTATCTCAGGCACATACATGGAATGTGTTAGTGCAAACCCAATTAGGCTTTGAATGCTGAAGCTGGAAGAAAGAAAAAAAAAGTAAACATTTTCCACCATCTTTCTCCATGTTTTCTTGTACCCTACTGAGGAGGCTGAATCACTATGTAGGACTAATGAGGTGACTATTACCAACAGAGGAGAATTATTTGCACGACAATGAATCATTTGTGTTTCTCTGCAAGAAAATTTATCAGAGTAAATTAGCTAAAATAGAAACAAATCCATGTGGTAAGTTGAGCTTTAGTGATTTTTGGCTTAACTTTGAAGGCAGCAGATGTAAAAAACAAACAAACAGATTTTTTAACAAACTTCAAACCAGGCATTTACCAATGTGATCCCAATGTGGACATTATCACACATCCATTTTATGCATGTGTGATAATGCTCAGAGACATCCCCCAGTTCCTTTCCGTAAAGTGCAGGGTTTCCCCCCAGGGTATTATGCAGATTGTTTGACATGCAGCTTGTTGCCATCAGTTGAAAGAAGCACTGAAACACTTTTTTGCAGTGTGTGGCAGATATTAGCATTAACACTAGTATCGGCATCGCTTGCCTATTTTTTCTTCTACTTCACAGTTATTCTAACTTGGATTGGTCGATACGGCTGAAAAGTGCATCACAATATGAGCATTTCATCTCAGTCAATATTGACAATGATTAATTCGTTTTTTTGTTGTAAATATCTGAAAAACTGCCGTACTGGTGGTGTGACCGTTCCTCTTTTAGCCACAGTTGTCACTAAACGCCATTGCTTTTTTATTTTAAAGCAGTTATGAAGCAAGGTGGTGAAACCTGAACCTGCTGCTGCGCATGTTACGCAATGAGTTGTTGCTAGGTAACCAAAGAGGGAGTGAGTTAGTCGATGCCTTGTTCAACGTCTCATGAGAGCTTGAGGGGCTAAAGTATTTCCTCTTCCCCCAGAATGTTGTGCAGTTCTGGACTGAAGTTCAGTCCAGAACTGTGTTGAATTTTCTCTATTCACTTTGATCACATGTTTATATTATTATTGGCTTGTTGTCCTGCTCTAATTCCCACTTTATGTCATTTGGGTTTTATGCAACTCAAATGACATACAATGAAGTTTGTGGTGCTTACATGTCAAGAGGAGGGAAAAAAAGTTCAAAGAGAGTGAATACTTTTTGCACGCCGGCCCGGTGACTGCTTTTCCTGTCTTGCTATGAGCCATCTGAACTCCACCGGTGCTTGGCTCCCAGATAGCAGCGATAACTGGGACACAGCAGCATCCACGGTGTCAGGCCCCTGGGGGACGGCTCCACAGCAGATGGATCTCAGCATGGTGCTAAAGTTATATCCTCCTTCCCTTACCCAGAAAACCTTCCTGGAGCTCTGCAGCAACTGGTTTGTGTGGGTGAATTTTAGTGCGTGAATGTATGTGCGTGTGAGTGTGTGTGTGGAAGGGCTTGAGAAGATTCTCACCTTCAGTGAAAAGCGTCGGCCAAAGACGGCATGGGATGACACAACAGATGGTGCACACAGAATTGTGCAGTTACATAGTAAACACCTTTCCTTACGACGTTAAAATGGGAATACACTTATGTTCCCCCTTTTTTTCTTAATGTTTTTCCTCCCCATCATCGCTTTCTCATACTTCATAGCAGGCGACCGGATTCTTGTAAAATGTCAAAACTTTAACTTCAACTGCAAAGAAATTGACTCCACTGAGAAGAAGAAGAAGAAGAAGACACAGGATTGTGCAGATTTAATTTTAAAGAGACATTTATTTGATCACATGAACGTTTATGGTCCTGTAAACAGGATGGCGTGGAGGCTGACAAAGCCACTGGGCTCCTGCATTATTAATAAAAGCAACTGTGGTTAAATAGTTGTTAAATTATTGTTATTGATTAGAAATTGAAACATCGTTACTTTATGGCTCTTCAGCTGCAGAATGCATTATCAACAGCGCATTCTTTAAAAATTACTCAAAGTAAAGCATCGGAATAAAAACTAATTGTTTTTTTGAAGAACAATTAGTGAGGGCAGAATCGCACTAATCTGTCAGAAAAAGGAAGAGAAAGTCAAACTTGGTCACCTCTTCTTTTTATCATTACTACAACTCAGTTTATGGTAAGTTCATACGTGAACAGGCTTGATGGAAGCCTGCTCAAAAGATTTAATCACACATTTTCAAGGAATTCGCAAACACTGCTGCATCATGTTTTTCCAACTCATTTCTGAAATTCGAAGATGAATCATAACTGATTGCATGCTGTTTAAAACAGCGAGATGACTGAACTTGTGCGTGTGACAATTTCACCATCCATACTGCCGTCTCCCATTTGGCCCTGTTACGACCGCTGACTTTCAATTGATATTTTTACGTGAGACTCACACAAAGAAGCACATCTTTATGAAGAGGAGAAAAGTTGAAATGTGGTGTTCAATATTATTTTTTAGGAATGACAATCTCATAAGTGTCGCATGTTTTAACATTCAGCTTTTACCTAACACGTCGTTTTGCTGCTGGATGGTGAACCTGCTCTGGGCGTGCAACAAATTTCTTTAATCCCACTGCCGTTGAATTTCTAACCACGACCTCAAGCTCCTGCTGTTTGTCTCTGTCACTCCCGCAATATTTGTGACCAGTCCCGCCCGCCGGCCCCCAACCTGAGCTGATGAACTGTACAATTCAATAAATGGAAATCCACTGGATGCTTTACTGCAGCTTGAACAGCAGAAAATTTTAATTATATAGCAAATATCTAATCACTTTTTCATGTAAACTGAGGCCAACAAATCAAAAATAACCTGCTTGTGCACAATAAAATATATATAAAAAATCTATAAAGAAGAAAATGTATAAAACAATATTTAAAAAAAAGATAAAATTCCAGAGAATCAGTTGGAAAAAAATTCAAAATTGCTAAACATGAATACAAAACAATGGCTCAAAATCTACAAATGAAAAATAAAATGGAAACTAGAACTGAACTCTCACTTGTGATTGCTGGACATATTCCTCACACAGTGTTTGGGACTGAATTGGCAGTCAGGCGGTGAACAATCTCATCCTAGTCCAAAAAAATCTTTCTCAAAAAATGTCTTTTTTTTATTTTTTATTGCGGATTCCTTTCAGCTAATTTATATTCTCAGTTCCAATTTGCACGACTTTACATAGTCAATGGAAATGCAGCTACTGTCACTTGAGTTAGAGGCAGCCGTCACATGTGCAGAGTGGCTTTGAATCATTACGCATGCTTTCAGAAACCTGTGCTCTTGCTGCTGAACGTCATACACATGGTTGGCTAAAGATGGCAAACCTGTTGGGGTGTAATGGATATGTTACGACTAGAGTTTTCAGGTTTCTCCGTGTGCAGTCTGTGCTTGGGTAAA